GTCGTTTCCCACACTGAGACTGTTTGCAGCCAGAGAAGCAAGACTTCCAGTGAACGTGGTCAAACATGTTTAACTCCCAAGCACACCTTGGGACTGGCATATTGGAAGGGATCCAGGCAAGCCACTACAGCTGGGAGTCCCAGTGGTTCCAAATACCAAAGCACCTTTCCGGTTTTTTCCGAGGGCCTCTGGTTTCCAATGGCAACTAGCAACTGGGATCCCCTGGGTCAACCAAACTGATTGACCATCATTGAAACAACCACCCCAACTGATTTACTCTAATAGTCATCCATTGTATATGCTAGTCAGCTAGTCCCATGGAGCGTGACTGGAAATGCCTCGTCCTCGTCCTCGAAGCCGCCTTTTCCAGATCATTCCGGACCCACCCTTTTTTCATTTTCGTGTCGGTTTCATGAAGGCCGGTTTCTGATGGTGTCCTTATTTGTGTTAAGATTTCAAGCTTTACTTGGGGTATCTTGGGATGATTGATCCTACTGACCAATATTGTTCAATCGAGTTGAAACCACCAACCAGGTTGGGTCTTGGTAGTCTTGTTGCTGGAGTTGACGTTGAAGGCGTTGGAGAGACGTTCTTTTTAGAGATGTTCCAGTGACGATCCTGGCAACTCCCTGGCAACACCTTTCCCCAATCTTTGGTTTGTCAACAACCAGTTCTTCCCTTTGGTTGAGACTCTAATGAGCGTTCACCATGTTTTTTCTGAGATCCCTCAAGACATCTCAAGTCCAACAGGCAAAAAGAAAGGTTTGTCTAGAATCCATTGGTTCAAAAAATTGCCTATTCCATCCACAACACCTATCGAGGAAAACAACTGTTTCCTACCGCGCTAAATGGATTGCAAGATGAGACTTTTGCTTGGCATTGGGGTGCTGCCAGGTATGGTCTCAGCCAGAGCTTCTGCGCGAACCAGTGTCCGCAATGTGGCTTTGGAATCACATTTAAGGTCGCCCTTCAACTTCAAAAGAATTCCCAACAAACTATGAACACCTAGACACATTTGTTGTTGCAATTTGTGAATTTGATGTTATTGTTTATATCTGACTGGTGCAACGATTTCACCGGGAATTCACTGGTGTTCATGAGTCTTCGGCACTGTTTGCTGCGGCGCTACTAAGCACCTTATCTTCGTCAGACATCTTCATAGGGATTATTTTGGTCCCTTTAATTCCGCTTCATGAACATTTCATGGTGCCATCAGGTTGCGCTCAGCTTAAGAGTGTTTGTTTCTGTTCAGAGAAACCCCTAGTGGCAGCCAGCTGAAGCGCCGTCTCTCGAACCGGGGCAGCGACGCAGAGACGGAGATGTTGGAATGGAGGTGCCTGGGTTTTGGTGGAAATCCAAAGGTACTCACCCGCGGAGAACACTGGCATAGCTGACAGGAGCTTGATGCACCATGAACCTCATTAAATCCGTGTCATGCCTATAAAAGATTGTAAAAGCCACCATGACTCGGAGAACTGGAGAGTCGGATGCGGCCCTTGACTTGCCCAGTGTAGATAGTGTTCCTTTAGTCCGCCAGATGAGGGATTCAGTCCCCAGAAGACCCACGATCACCCCGGTCGCATGGGTAGACTGGTTGAACTGCCAAACCCTCCGGGTCGGAACGCCGGCGGTTCGGTCTCCAGAAACATGGACCTCGGCACGGTCATGGCCGCATTGCCTCAGCGGTTTGAAAGGGAGTCGATGCACTCTTCGATCATCCGAAGATCGATGAAGATCGCGTTGATCTCCATCCATCGCATGTTCTGGGCATCAAAGTGATGCCCCGACGTTCGACGTCTCCGAAGAAAAACCGCAACCGATCGATCGACGAGATCGCGCGGTCTTGAATTGGTCGCACTGAGGTTATGGCTCGGATGGGTCTATCCACCAGTGCTCCTTCTGCTGTCGACACCTCAGAGTACTGGAGCACAGGGTGGCTTCAGTGACCTGTCGTTTGGACCACCAACCACCCCAAATCACGAAAGCTACCAGGAGTCACAAAGGGTGGTTTTTTAGTCCCTAAGTGAGTGGATAATGGGCACCCCTATGCTCCAATAGGCACCCCTTTGTGACTGCCGGATACTGCCGGTAGCACCAGCTAGTTGGAGTTGTTCTTGATTTAGCAAGTGAGGGGCTGGAATCCTCGAGAGCGTGAAAACTTCATTTTTTTGGGGGGGGGCCACCCCCAACACCCCCCGCGGGTTCAACTCCTCCCTGGCACGTCTTTGGGACGACCGTTCCCGTGGCAGCAGGATTTAAACCCCTTTCTGGGTCTGATCGTCACCAACCCTCGGCCTCAAGTAGAGTCAAACTTCCTACAACAGAGGTCACATCGGTTCTTGGGCTGAAGAAGCGAACGCACTACAGCGACTAGAGTCGATCACTTCCATCACTCCAGACAGAGCGACTTCGTCTCTTACCCCGAGGTATTCCTTAACCCGTGCAGCCGCCGTCTCGGAGAAGTGTTCCAGACGCTTGGGATGTTTGCGAACAGGTTCGTCGCGTCGGGCAAAAGCCCCCCGACGACTTTTTGGGTCGGAGAAGTGGTTCCTCCAACATGACCTGGAGGTCGCGGTTCATCCCACAGAAAATTGGTATATATATTTATTTGCTTTTGTTTGTTTTCCCTAGGGCTCCAAGTACCTTCTGAGAAGGTGTTTGGGGTGGGTTTGGAGGGTCCAAATACCTTCTGAGGAGGTACGACTGGAGCCCTAGGGTTTAATAGGGGTCATGTCACCGTGTCTCATTCTTGGGTACTTCAAGTCGGGTGCAGGTAGGTTCCGTTTGGATTATTTTTCTGAACGTATAACCCCAGATCAATGCCAGACTCGCTCGATGATACCGTTCGCTTCGTTCGGATCCTGGACACCGAAAAAAAGGCCTTCGGTTCTTGCTGCAGCATGGCGGGTGTCTGGGTGCCCCAAAGATACCAAATTAAGACCTTTAGTTGGAGCACTTTATAAGTCGCACTTAGTCGGTGACCGTTTGTTTCGTCGGTTTCATCCATCCATCCTTTCGTTGCGCATGGTGAACGAATCAAGCTTTCTGCTTGAAAAAGAGGCGACGGAGCCTTGTTGGCAATATCGTTCCAGGCTTAAAAAAGGCTAGCTAGTGTCATCGCATCGTTATAGAGACACTGCATATGTTCCGAACAAGAGCGGGAAAGGTGCACGTCGTGTGTCCAACCGAAGCTCCTGGAAGCAGATCTCAAGCATTCCATGGGACTGGCATACAACCTTGGTGTGGTTCAGGGGTCAATGTACCCTAGAATCGTTAGACCCTCCATGGCAGGGCCTTGGCACATCTTGGCACAAATCTGGACACTCAAAACCTTTGCATGTTTAGGTACCGGATTCTTGGGATAGGGCATGGTTGGAAACTTATCACGAAAGGTAGCTTGAGCTACCTGAGTTCTCCTTGCTGTAGCAAAAATGTATTACAATCAGGAGTTGGGATTGTGCATTGAATTTGGTCCTGTAAGAGTTGATTCTGTTCGTCGGCCCCCCCCCCCCTCCCTGGATCAAATCCCCCCTGCGCCGGTTCACGCCGTCATGGACTTCTACCAGGGTTACTTGTGATTGCCTGCTACCTTTCGTTCACCCCCTCCTCTCTCAAGTACAGTTTATTTGACATAGGATTACACAAGAGCCAGTAAACTTCTTCTCAAAGGAAAGGCTTTGATTTGCTGAAATAGGGTCTTTGGAGAATACAACGTGGCACTGTACAAAGTCTGTAGATTCTGTAGATTTTGTGGCAAATGTCCGCAATTGGGAAGCAAAAACCCATTGCAGGCAGGTTCTTAGAGGTTTGGCATGATTCCAAGAAATCCAAACCGTTTTGGATTCTTCAATTGTGTTTTTTTCTGTAAACAATGTATATAGTGAACCAATTCACTACATGTATCATAATAAATAGAGAGTGTGCGCAAGAGAGATGCCTATAAAAAATATAGTGAGCCAGTTTACTACCATTCATATACCTATATATATTGCATATTATAGTAAACCATGTCTAATTATCAAGTATGATACCTGGCACTTGACATGTTTTATTCCCAAGTCGGACATTCATTGCCCATTGGCGTCCTAAGGAGTGGCTCCGTTCATTAATTCTTGGGACTTCCCCTCCGATGACGACTATCAGGCGGGAGGAACGAACGGCGAACGAGCGGAGGCTGGATGAGGCTAAAATGAACGAAACCAGCTTTGCAGCAAAGATGAAACATGCAAAAAAGGCACAGGAACCACAATGTAGTGCCATGCACATCTGCCACTTATGCTTCATGGCCTTCCACCCTGCTGGGGGGCATGGCCATGTTTGCTAAAAATCTCAAGTGGCCAGTGGCCAAATTGGAAGGTTTCCGGGCCCTAGAACTGGAGGGAGATCCAGTTCTGGGGCCAGGACTATCAGGACTGAAACCAAGTCCGGTGGTTTGTTTGGGACACCCGGAATCACCTCTAAGAGGCTATTTATAGACATGCACATTAGAAGACTCATTGTATATAAGGAGGGTCCTAGTATACGGTTGTCTGTTGTCTTGGATTGGTGTGTTGCCTTTCACTTCGTGCTGATCGAGTTCTGTAACTCCCAGTGACCCAGTGCTTCATCAACCACGATGGACTGCCGTGGCCCCGCCTCGGGCCTCGCGTTTGGACCACGCAGGACGGGCTGAGTTTGCACGAAGGGCGGCAGTATATCGTCCAGTACATTATGCAGAGCGAGGCCTTCCGAACTCACCGTGGCCAGGTTTTGCCGTCGTTTAAGTTCTGAACTGCGGAGTATAGATGGGTGTATAGATGGGTGATTGCATGATGGTTTTGAAGCAAGACCACTCCAAGTGGGTTCAAGAGAGGATGTGTGGATTACTTGCAAAACTGACACAACAAAAACATAGACTTGTTTTTTTGCGTGGTAGGGTGTCCAGTAATTCCCTCATGTTCCGAAAAGTCTCTATCTTGTGTGTGTATGTACGAGAGAGAGAGAGAGAGAGCAGGAGAGATTTTGGATACCGCTACAGCTACAAGGTGATACTTTGGTGATCCTGAACGGAGTGACTTGCTGTAATTTTGCAGATAGTTTGATTCCGAATTAACTTGTTGACTGTTACGAATGGAAAAGAGCATCCTTGGTCAGCGACAGGTTCGCGAAAGTGATCCTCGATGGCAGTAGTGATAAATGTTCATCCAAGATCCCAACAACTGTTTCTAAGAGATACGATCCAAAAATATCCCGGAGTCCTCCTCAGTTGTTTCCAAGATTGTGCCGCACTGAATCACGAAGAATAACTCCCATGGGTGCAGGCTGACGTGACTTCCAGATATTGGATGTCTAAGCGGCTGGCTGAGGATTCAGCTGGTGGGTGGTCCCAACGACATCCAACGAACGATTCTCTAGGGGTCCACGTACTGGTTCTTTTCGGATCTGGACCCCAAACGCGGAGGTTCTGTCGACTGCCCATGGAGGGTCCAAAAGATATACAGGGATCGGTATGATGAGTTTGAAAAGAAGACCAGATGCTTCTAGGGTTCGACGATTCACTGAAGAACTATAATTGAATTCATATAGCAACTCACAAGTTGATATTGAAAGAGGGTTCCAGTTGCCTTCAAAGCGGGGGAAGTTCTCCCACGCCGGCGAAATGGTTCGGAGGATGGACAATCTCTGCAAACAAAACAGAGGCGATCAGGGCCCTTTGAGCACCCGGGGCCTAGCTGTGCCTTGCATAGGACGACCCTTTTAACTTTTGCATGAAGGTGAACATTGATCGTCTGAGAACACAGACAGGTCGACAACTGCCAATGGCCTGATGTCGTCCGTCCGTTGTCCACGTTTTGGACCGCTCCACCGGTGAACACTGGCTCCACCGGTGAAGGCCGGCTTCTATGTGAAGGGCGTCCGGCTGAGCAACTTCACCATCATGAAGCTGTGCTTTCGACGGCCAACGACGCGACGCGAGATCGGAGAAACAGCACGCAGACGACGCGACAGATGCGGCCGTCTGACGCGGAAGATGGACATGGAAGATGCAAAAACGGATGTTCCATGTGAATCTTTCAAGGTGTGCATAGTACACAAAGATGGGGTCCACCCTGAAAGCCGTGCCATCAACGTAACCATGGATTCTTTTCAGGGAGTGCATTTCAACTGAAAGATCCGTTGTCGTACCTTCTCAGAAGGTGATTGGAGACACTGTAGGTGTCAGGAGGGTCCAATCGTACCTTCTGAGAAGGTAATTGGATCCCTGTCAGCTGTCATGTTCCCCAGACCGCTGAAGGAGCTGCTGAAAAAAGACCGCAGGGTCTTCGTCACCGCTTTTTGCATGTGTGCTTTCGTTCAGCCCGTGCTTTCCAGGTCCGTGTGACGTGTTCAGAGACGTCATTGGGAAGGTCGAACGTCATAGGGAGCTTGACACTCCATGGGACTGCCGCCCCAGCCAGACCCCCCAATCAACCGCCCCTGGCCGTTTTGAAGGCAGTCCAAACTGGCAGTCCCAGACAGGTTGTGTCTGGGGCGACGAGCACCCCGAAGGACTGGAAGAGGGTCAAGGACCGAACCGCGCACACACACCGCGCACGTCCCTCCCTTGACCAATGAACATCTTCGTTGGTGTAAAGGTGGATGGCGGCTGCGCTCCATCTTTGCAGGTCATCTCAGGTCATTGGTTTGATTTGGTTTTTGGGACCTTTCTCTTGCAGAGGACCAATGGCACCCCCAAAACCTTAAGGGGAGGACTTTGGGGCCGGGAGTTTCAACCAGTGTGTGGTCCGTCACCCCAAACCCACCCCGCCACGCCTTCGTTCGCCGCCGCTCGGTCCGTCATCGGAATCAGGTGCTACGGCTTCGGTGCGCTGAGCTTCGCGCTGCTGAGCCACACCTTGACGGCAGTGGTGGCGGACGCGGTCCCTTCGGTGGAGGACGATGGAGGACGAGGCTAAAAGGCGGTCCTTCTCGGTGTTATCGCTTCAGGGTTGTGACTTCGTTTCCATAGAGGGAGGAGGACCCTGCTTGATGTTGGGACGGGCGCCGGGATCCTCTCCAGCTTCCGACGGTCCGGCTATCGGCCGGATCGGCGGGTGGAGGATGACACCGGTGACCGGTGCCAGGTGTATGTTCATCGGGAAGGCGAGGTCGACAGGTGAAGCTGAACACCGCGGACAGCTGTGTTTGGTGGACAGGGAAATGAAGAACGCTTCATTGAGAGGCCGCTTTTCTAAATGTGTTTGTGCATTGGCATCATGTTTGCAACTATAACATCTATAACTAACTGACTGACTGACTGACTGACTAACTAACTGACTAACTAACTAACTATACCATTTGGGGAGTCGTTTGGGGCACACTTCCCTTCTTCACATCCATAAGGGTAAGTGATGTTTTTTGTTCTGCATCAACTCGATCCCTCTCATCGCTTTGCCACAGCGGCACAGCTGTCTTTGA